GAACCCTTTCAGCAAAGAAATTCTTCCTCACATCCAATCTCAACTGCCCTTGGTGCAACTTGACGCTCACTTTCCTATCAAGAACAGCAACCCCGTCTCTAGAAGTTGATGGTATTGTGTTGCTTCCACAATGCTGCAATGCTTCAACAAGAGGTTTGGCTTTGAATGGAAACTCCAGATGACACAGAGTTTGGGTGCTGCTTATCCAAGTGCATAGACCCCAAGTCCGAAGCCGTCAGGGCTGCAGTAATTCCTGTCAGCATGCATGGAGCTTGACAGACCAAGGTGACATTTCTATCTGTTTCCTCCTCTCCTGCCACCCACCAGAAAACCCCAAACCATTCAGCTGTTTCAGAGCTAGAACACCTTGGATCTCCATTTCGAATATCTCCTTTGCTGAAATAATAACAAACATTTCCACGATGCAGTTTGTCACATTGATTTATTGTTGTTCTTTTTCTTTACATGGCAGACAGACAACAGAGCTTTCAGTCTTCCAAAGCAATGTTCAGAGCCCAAGCACCCACCAGGTTATATCACATCTCCACATAGTTTATTTTTAATAAACTTCTCAGTATCAGCATTGTTATGAGAGCACTGCAGAGCTACTGGTGTCAGCCTTGCAAAATTCTACATGCAAAACCTGAGCTTTTTCCACACCCTCTCCTTGAATTTTCACAAGAACTTGTGGCATTAGTCAAGGGCAAAATTTCACGTTTCATCAGCAGGCACGGGGGAGGTTAAAAATTTGCTGCAAAACTGTGAAATTCTGCCTTGGAAAAAAAAAATGGCATACTTTCCTGAATTTACTGTGAGTAAAATATCCTCATCGTTCAGAGAAATCACACCATTTTGAACTGGTTCTTTTTTTCTGCAGGAAAAATCAACTCCCCCACCCTCCCAAAAAACCTGCATTTGTTATCTGAGGGAAAATGATGAGAAGTCTGGTGCAATAGGTTATTTCTTGTCAGTAGTGTGGATATTTTTCTGCCACAGCTTAGACCATAATGCACCCTTCAAATAGACCAGTACAACAGAAAGCTGTGTGCTGTCGTCTCTTGATTGAATAACACACATTATAAAACTTTAAAAACGGAGCATTTACAACCAGGGACATAAAGACGTGCTTTTAAAATTGCAAATACATATTTACAGGCTTGTGTGAGAAACCAGAATTTCTCTGGGAAAAATGTTCCTATATCACAATAATTTACACACTTCTCTCCTTGAGTTTGTCAGTTATTATAGTTAATACCGCTCTAAAAAAAGCAGCAAAAATAAATTGCACAAAAGTGACCTTTACTAACCTCATTGGTATGCCTTAAAGGCACTAAACTCAGCAGCATCCGTGCCAGAAACTCTGTACTTAATTTAACTTACTGTTGCTGGAAGTTGAGTGAGTCTCAGAAGAACTGATTGTTTAAAGCAGGATTTGGGCTGCGTGGTAAGAAAGCTCTTCCTCAGCAACAATCCTCATGTGACCAGTGAAAATTTATACGGTAAGCGTGATCTTCAACAAAATGCTTAACTGGGAAAATCAAGGGCGTATCATACTGGTGCTTTAAGACAGAGTATATCGGAGCTGTTTTTTATTAGCACTGTATATTCATCTTTCAGATGATCTAAATGCTGTCCAGACACACAGGGAGATAATTCCTGTTTGAAAGAACAGGGTTTACCATACTAATACTAGATGATGAGAAGAAGGAGAAAATGTGGAGAGGAAATAAAAAGAAAGATAATGTGCAAAACTAAAGTGAGCCAAAATGATTAGAGAGCTGTATGTGCACGTCAGCTTCTTGGAGATAGACATAAAGCCAGGAAACTTCATTTCTGTGCTATTTGGCCAAGATGTACCAAGCTGCCTAGCAGATTTGGATACTCACTTCCAACTAATGAATAATGAGAATCTCAGTCTTCCAAGGCTGCTATGAAAAATTTCAGCCTTTGTTTAGAATTAGTACATCCCATATTTCAAGAGGAAATTATTGCTAGCAAAAAGCTCAGGAGGGGACAAACTCTGTTTGAGACTCTCCACTCCAGGAAAGAGAGAGCAGCCAGCAATGGCACGAGCTCTCCCCACAAAGCTGGCATCTCAGTGGTCCCACAGTCTTGAACTGGAAGCATCACTTCCAACACATGTAGCTTTTTATGGCTCATCTATTTCTCAGCATCTCAACCTTCCCCCAAACCACAATTGCACTTAGAAAGCCTCTAATAAGGGTTTATAAAAAAAAAAATCTGTTGGTAGATAATACAAGATCCTAAAGATCTTTTCTTTCCAACTCAAACAACATGAAGCTAAAACTTCTTCACGGTGAACAAACCCCATGTTTTCATTTAAAGCTTTTTGTATTCATTTTGAACAATTTGATTTTCATCAAAACTATAAAAAATTAACTTTTCAGCAACTTCATACATATATATTAATATATATGTCATATATATAGATAGATATAGATAAAATTGATCCTTTTTTTGACTTTTTCAGGTGGTGGGAAGGAGTATCAACCGGGCACTTGTTTTTTCCCAACTAACGTGTGCATACACAGATGTGCGCTCATCTGTGTGGAGTGCAAAGACAAGGAGAGGAATAAATTGACTAAAATAAGGGGGAAACAGGACAACCGACCCCCTTGGCCTCCTTGAAAAATCCCAAACCTGGACACTACATTAGCAAGGATCCTGCAAAACTTGTCTTGACAGAAGGAACCCTTCATCTCAGAGGTGAAATCTGCAGGGGTCCGGAGAAGCGCCCTGCCAGATGATGCACCTGTGTGTGATTGTCACCGTTTTGGAGCAAGAGGTAAGAGACCTTTTTGCACTGCATGTTACCAGCTGACCTGTATATTTCTGCAACTTGTCTTTACCATCTGCCAGCTGCCTTCATGGATGTCCTCTCTACAGGACCATAGACACTAAACATGCTTCTATTGAGAGTTGCAAACACAAGCTCCATATTTAAGGAAAAAAGTTGCTGCACAGCAACATGAGTGTTCGATACTCTCACTAAAGAAATAAATCCTGACTGTCACAAGTGCCAGCCTGGCCACAAATGTAATGGCAGCTTTTGAGAAATGGATGCTTGTCCCTTTATGCAACTGGGCTATCAGTGCATTTCACAGAGATCACCTCACAGGTGGCGTAAAAAAAAAAAAAGTGGGTCCTGACATACTTTGAAAGCAACAGCATCGTGCCCGTTAAAGCTAATGGTACAAAGACAAGAGACTGGGGGACCCACGGACTTCAAATGTGGAAACCTCAGCAAAACCTACCACTCCCTTCAGGGGATTTTTGTGGGATGCCCAGTTCTTTACCCGTTAGGATGTAAAGTAGAAACTAAAATGATGTAACAGTCATTTCAGAATTTAATTGCATAGTATGTTAAACCCCTCTGTGTTCTATCAGAAAGAGGAGACTCATCAACCCTCTGAACACAGTTAATCTGCCTGCAAAGGTCTGACCATTTCTCCTTGTTACTCCACTGGCTGTTGATGTGTGGACTCCACGTGGCAGGGGACACTGAGATCACCCTCTCGCCAGCATCCCCAGTTCATCACTCCCTGGAGAAGGCAGGAGCCCTGCTCTGCACTCTCTCCCTCTCCCTCTGGAAGGAAGGATGATAGGACAGAAGCACACCATTGCTTCCAGCAGAAGAAACCGCTGTCCCTGTTATCTACAAAGGAACCGGTCTCACCTCATCTGAGAAAAAGCAGGAGAGGATAATGCTGAGGATTACTTCACCTCACCTTTTCCAGTCAAAAGTTCCTAGTGCCTGTAAATACAGAGAGAGTTGCATTTAATCAGAGTCAGCTTCAAGATGAAGTAGTCAGAGTAACTCAGCCCTGTTAGGCTGAGCTGGAAGCAGGGCAAGTCATTCAGCGAGTGCCACGCAGGAGAGATGCCCATGATTTAACTTCTGCTTGGGTTTCCCACAACTACATGGTCTACGCTGCAATTAGGGATGTTAACATTTCATTAGCAACCATTCCTGTTATTCGGGAGGTATTAAACTTCAGAATTTGACTAACTTTTCCACCAAATGTTATTTTTTGAACATATTTAACAAATAATAAATCTCAGGCTGCAGCACCTTGATTTTGCTGGCACTCATTCCCACCTTTACCTTTATACATGTAAGTGTATTCCTTAGATCTCACAGCCCTATAAAGGAGGTGACTATCTGTGTGTTACAGGTGGGGAAATGAAGGAGCTGAAGACAGAGTCTTGTTTAAAGTTAACCAACAGGAAATCAATCCAGCTTCCCCAGTAACACTGGACCACATCATTAATTTGCCCAAGCCCATGTAGCTATATAACCTGTTTCATTACACCAGTTTGTCTCACCACAACCCCAATGCATGTTTTTCTGTTATCTTGGCACTACCATTCCCATTGTAACACTGGTCTTTGAGCTTCTGGCATTCAACCAAAGCAGACAGCCATAAGACACATTCCCAGGCATATTTTTTTGTCATATTTTGGTTGAGTTAGTATTTGTTCAGCATTTACCCATTCAGCCTAAAAGATCTCAAAGCACTTTGCCTGCTACTACAATCAGATACAGACAGCACTGCATCTGAGATGGGGACAAACCCCATCCTTCCAAAAATTGCTACCATCTCCCAGAGGAGCAACACCTCTGGTTTTAAAAGCTCATAAACAGAAGAAAATGCTCTTTATATTTTCCATGAGGCTAAAGAGCTGACTCTGCCCTAACAGATCCTTTTGACCCAGAGGATATAAGTAGACATCACTAGAGAAGACCTAGTCCCTTGTGCTTGATTTAACTGAGGCTCTATCGCTGAGACAGGGCACCTTGCCCTCCCCTTCTTTATCAGTGACCAGTTACAACCAGAGAAATGACACTGTGGGTTTCCTGAGGCTCGGAAAATATCTGTAAAGGGCTTTGCACTCCTTGCCCACAGAAACACAAGACGCGTAAGCTCTCTGCGCATCCTGCGTTGCTGTACCTGGGTTGGTTGGACGTGCAGCAGAGTCTATTCCTTGCAGAAGTGGGATGCAGAGCAGCTGGATTTCTTGCGTTGTCTGGTGCTGGTGTTATGCGAAGAGGAGGAAGGACATCTACAGGCCATGCGGAGTCTGTAACTGTACAAAGAGGCAGAAGAAACTCATACACATGTGTGAGGGGACCAGGGGAAGACACGCAGACACATGCTTTAGGGCCCCACAGGGGCTATAGGAACGGTGAGAAAAAAACCTCGACTCTCCACCCACCCTGCAAGTACTGAGAGCCACTTCTGAAGGCAAAAGGAGGTTTTTTTTGCCTTGTTCTGAACTTACCCTGCTCATTTACATAAGTAGCAAACAGGCAATGTCAACTGGAAGCAACGTCCAGTGTCCCACCTGATGTCCCAGTCAGAGACCCTCCAACTGGGACAGACACAAACCCACTTACATAAAGAACAACTAGAAGAGTCACAGTTGATTTTCTCAGGACAGTCCACATCAGGTTTAAAAATACATATTTATGGAAAAGGAATTTTGCTCTATATAAGCCCAATACCACATCTGGTCGCTCTTCCCAAGGGCAAAGCCTGCAGTCCCCTTTTTGGACAATGGGTCACTGCAGTGAGTGCTGCTACTGCACCTTTATCACAGGTGATAGGTTATTTCACTTCAAATCCCAAAATGAAAGTGAAAATTAGAGATTTTAACTGACAGTATTACATCTCTGTCAACTCTGGTTTCAAGAAGAAAGCCTAAATCTACAAGTCAAAGAGAAGGACATAGAAAGGCTTATGCCCTATTCTAAATATACAGTTCAAATATGTACCCAAGCTAAACTTCCTTACACTAAAGGATTAAAAAAATTCCCTATTTGTTTTTAAATTCAGCTTCTTTTGCTGTCCTGCACATACTCGTACCGACTCGGTGCGTGCAGATGCACATCTGCTCCCCTCACACCTGTGCACCCCCAAACCTGTGGTAATTCCGTACTTACCTTGTATATGCAAATTCTTTAAAAGTGTTACCAAAACCAACTACTTACGTTCCTCCAAGGGAATATCTTTTGAAATACAATTGAATTACATAACAACATAGAATCATAGAATGGTTTGGATTGGAAGGGACCTTAAAGCTCATCCAGTTCCAACCCCCCTGCCAGCAGCAGGGACACCTTCCACTAGACCAGGTTGCTCAAAGCCTCATCCAGCCTGGCCTTCAACACTTCCAGGGAGGGGGAATCCACAACTTCCTTGGGCAATATGTCTAAGAAAAGTTTAAAGACAGGTTTTTTCTTCAGGTTCTTTTTAGAGTTCAATATACCCCCTTTAAAGGAGATTTCAGCTATTGTTTGTCCTTACATACGGATTTTGTAGTGCAGTCTAACTGCAAGTTAAGACATAAAGAAGCACAAAATTTTCCATTACAACAGAAAAACAAAACCACAGAAATTTTGAATAGCAATTCAATTATTTCCAAATTAAAATTGGTGGTTAAAATCGTCTGCCAAGGTTTTGTTATTGTTTTATGTAAATCAGACTCTCCAGCCTTTGTGAATTTAATACTGAAGCATTCATCTGGTGTGTAAGAATCAGAAAGGGGTAATGAGGAAGTCAACAAAAGTCAGATTTTGTTGTCCCATATAAGGACTGTTACCAAGGGAAACAGAAGAATATCCAAAATAAGTTTAGTTTGTTTGGCTTCAGTTCTTTCCTATAACTAGAAGACAGAAATTTTAGTTTCTTTTTATTTAGAATGTTGCCATTTAAGTAATGCTTAATGTCAGAAAATTAATTATGACTTGTAAAAGTTCTTCGATAATCAGGAACATCTGTGTGTTCTTGTGTGCAATGAGCCAATGCCTAGATCCTGTGGGAAGCTTCAAAAAAAAAAACCCCCCAAAACCTCCCTCAAATCCAGAGACTAAATATCTGAGAAAATCTGACCTGCATTTTCAGATGCACAACCCCTCTTCTCCCCAAAACAACAAGCTAAAGGGATCTTTCACCCCCTAATTTCATCTCGCTTTAAAGCTAATAGATCATCAGCTTATTATTTGCAAATTGAGGATTAGAGGAACGAGATCAAAAGGGTTTGTTTTTCTAGAGAGAAACTGCAATTAGGTCCTTAACGGAGCTCCCAGCGTTGCCTCCCCATTTGTGAACTGAAACCACCCGGCAAAGCAGCCAGGAAATCAGTGCCCTCCTCTGTGCTGCTATTAAACTAAAACAGATCGATAACTCTGATTTTCAAGAGCCCCTTTAAAGAAATGCAGGGAAATCTGGTTGTTTTAGGAGTAACTCCCCAGGTCTGCAAGGCAAGCTGATCTCAGAGGTGGTGAGGAGCTGAAACACCCCCATCGCGGGTAGGGACAGTTATTGCCATGGCTATTTTTAGCACGGTCACTTTGCACCTGCTTTCACCATCACCCATGCTGGGGTAACTGGAGACAGGCAAAAGAAAAGGAATTCTTAGACACCCTGTGCCGATGCAGCCGAGCAGCAAGGATTTTATTGGGAAGGGGCGAGGGGGCTGTAGCTCCATCACACCACTGTGACAGTCCATATCCTGGGCCAGAACCAGAGGACAGAGAGCACAGCCCATGCCACATCCAGCTCTGTCAAGTCTGTTGTTTAGGAACAGTCCTAGCTGGAAAAAGAGAGAAAAAAAGAGAGAAAGAAAGAGAGAAAGAAAGAGAGAAGAGAGAAGAAAGAGGGAAGAAAGAGGGAAGAAGAAAGAGAAAAGTAAGAGGGAAAAAGAAAGATGGGAAAAAGAAAGAGGGGAAAAGGTGGGGAAGGGGGTAAAAAAGCAGGGGGAAGGGGAGGAGAAAGAAACAGCATCAGAAAACAACCTATGCTTGCAAGAAAAAGGGCAGAGAAACCATGTTAGGCAGCAGGAAGGACTCATTTACCCTACATTTTCTCTGTCAACTAGGACTTTTAAATCAGGATAAACAGTCTTGGTAAATGTACTAGCTATACCATAAACTAAAGCTAAAGCAAAAGTTAAATGATGGGGTTTTTTTTTTACACATAGACAGGGCCTAAACCTCTCTCAACTGAAAGCACACCCCAACATCAGAGAGAGACCAATCACTGAATTTGGTGAGACTCACTGCAGTAAAAATACACTAAATCCCAGTTCTTCCAGCCTTCCACCCTTGGATCTGGAAGTGTTTTGCAGTGAGTCAGTACCATAATCCCCATTTTTTAAATACAGAACGGAGTCAGAAGGAAAGTGATTTGTCAAGGTCGCCCAGAAAATCCGCTGTCTTAAAGCAGAGGTAGGAACAAAGGCAGAGGTTCCTCTATCACGCTGCGCTACTATTCCCCAAGTTCAATTGTCTCCTGAATACTTAAGAAGTTCCACTTTATTTGCCTAAACCAAATTCCTACTTCCACACACCATCCTAGGGCACCGAGCCTCGAGATGAGTGAACCAAGCGGTTAGTAAACATGCCGGGTCCTGGTGCACACCCTTCCCACAGACATTCTCAAAACACATTTGGTATTTTTAATGCAAATCACCTTGTCCTCTGCCACACTTACGCAATGAACATTATTGCTAGTAGCCAGTTTAGTTCATTAGAAATGTCTCAGAAAAAGAAACCACGTTACTTGTGGGAATGAAGGCTGGAGGGATCTGAGATGGTTGCTGGTCACACCAGTGAAATTCAGTGGCCAAAAACTCATCACAGTATGTGATAAAACATTCAGGTTAATTTACATTCACATTTTTACCTCAATTAAAGTGTGGTTCTCTTGCAGGGCATACACTTCTATGCTCCTAATTTAAAAAAAAAAAAAACAAACAACAAACAAAAAAACAAACAACCCCCCAAAAAAAACAACCAAAACCCCAAAAACCCAAAACCAACCAACCAAAAAAACCCCCATGCATGTGGTCAAAAATTTCAGACACACACACGCTGCAACATATTTCTTAACAACAGACACGTCAGGGACATATTCTACCAGAAGTGTTTATTCCTCTTAAATAAAACAATGTCTAAGCTGACACAGACTGACTTCTAAAAGAATTGTCTGCGTGAGAAAAAAAAAAAAGATAGCGAGGTGTGGATGATTAAGCCTAAATTCCTGGCTTTGCAGAATTAGGTAAGGTAATTGTACAGGCCAGAAGGCAAGTGAGGGGGGTTCAGGGTGTGGATAAATGAGATTTCTGGGCTTTCTGCTCTCAGTAAGAACTAAAGCATCGTGTTGCTAACCCAGCTGGCATGTACTCTCTTGCACTCGCATATTGCTTAATGGGAAAGTAAATACACAAAACAAGGACTTGGAAAAACATCAAGCACCAATTACATGAACAATTTTTAAAAATATATATATTTTTTTTTTAAGTGAAACAAAATATTTAGCAGGACAAAAAGGTTTGTGGATAGAATCTTCTGGAGGATGTATGTTTTCTGCAGAAGAGTCCTACCTTTGTGTACAAAAAACAGGGGGGCAGCAGAAAGCGAAAGGACCTCACTGTGTTGTACTGCAGCTATTTCAAGACTTACGTGCATGAAAGCGGTGAAAAAGCTGGAACACGCCAGGATTTTATCTTGCAGTCACATGACACTAAAGGACACAACATAAATATGATTTTATGGTCAGGCCTTTCATGAATCTAAACTGGAAAAACCTGCTATTGAGATCCTTTGCATTCTCTGCTTTCAAGAAGATACAGAGCAGCACTCTAACCACAGCGCTTCAAAGGAGTTGGTAGCGTTCAAGTAGCGCTGCTCCTCCACAATAACTCACAAACTGTTTTGTTTCAGGCACGTGCTCTTGAGTTCAAGTTTCTTCATAGTTGACTTCATTCCACACACAGTGAAATCTTCCTTTAGATCATTATGAACTTGAGTGATGAACATCAAATCAACACTGAGAACTGTTGAAAAAAAAATCTCACCCCATCCTGACAACTCACCCGGGGGGGGCTACCTAAAATTAATGTATCAATGCCATTTTACTGAAACATCATTAGCTTTTCAAAAGCAACTAGTACTCTAAAATAGTCACTTTAAAGAAATTCAGCGCTCAGGATGGCTACTGAGCTCTGTCAGAAAATCAGTCTCCTTGATAGTACTTCAAATTGAGCTCAAAGAAATTATTAGTCACTTTAAGAAATCCTGGTCT